AATATATTATCTATTCTGGCCAGGTGTGATAGCTGAACAAACACAGCTAACTTAAATAAGCAAAGCTTTTTCATGAAATAATACATCACATTTTTTGTTGCTGTTAAGTCAGGGTCTTGCTATGTAGAGTTCAGTTCAGGCTGGCCTTGAACTTGCAGCAATTTTCCACCTCAGCCTCCTGAGTGCTGGGATTACAGACAGTTGCCACCCCACCCAGCATACAGCACTTTTCAGACAAAGAAAAGGCAAACAACAACAACAACAACAAAAAGCCTTACAATTTTTAAGAAAAATGATTGGAGTAATTGCTTAAAGCACAAAATAAATATTTGGTCCCAATGTTGACTGATCCAGAATAAGATGTAATTAGCACAAAAAGCAGAAGTAATAATAAAGGTGTAGAATCTAAGTTAAAAGGAATCTTAAAATGCAGTTCTCAGAGGCATACAAAATGGGGGGGTGGTAAAATGAAGATTCCTAGGCTTGGTGTACACGTACTTAGATTCAGAAGATTGAGTCCTGCCAAGAATCTGCACTTGAAACATGATCCTCTAACCTCCAAATATGACAATAAAGGGGGGAAAAAATATCATGCTTGCAATCACATAGAATAACTCAGAACAATGGTCTTCCCACTAGACTACTTATACTACTTTATAGTTGAAGAAACTGGGACAAAGAAAAAATAAATTGTCAATATCTTGAGTTGGTAAATTCCAATTCTTTAAATTCATTCATCAACTATTTCCATGCATAGCAATATGAGATTATAAAACAACTTAAGATACAAGGGGGAAAGGGTAGCTCAATGGCAAAGTGCTTGCTAGGTTTGATCTCTAGCACCCTCCCCCCTTCCCCAAAAGAGATATGAGCTCTATCCTCCAGAAGCAATCATCAGTTGGGAGGAAAAAGCAAACACATAAAACTGATGCTTCAGAACAAGGATATATGAGTAGGTGTCACAATGAGTGGTATGGTCAATTATAAAATTAACTAATTTACTCTGACTTTATTAACTTTTATGGTTAGAATTTACCCATTAGAGACCAATATTCAATTTCTTTTCCTTCACCGTTAAAAAAAAAAGTTGGGGGGCCAGGGAGATGGCTCAGTAGAATAAGTGCTTGCCTGGCAAGCACAAGGGCCTGAGTTCAATCCCCGGTTCCGCCAAAAAAAAAAAAAAAAAAAAAGTTGATGCAGCTCAGTGGTAGATGGATTCTCAACATGGCAAACAAAAAAGTTGGCCTTGAATGATCAGAAGGAAAGGAAATGTCCCATATTTCATAGACACATCAATATCAACATTATATAACACAAGACACATTCTAGCATACCTTTGTTGAGACCAAAGCTAGTGTAATTTTAATGCAAAAGCTTTTATTCATTTCCTATTGTTTTGTTTTTGAGGCAAAATCTTGTTACATATTGCAGGCTGGCCTCAGAATTCATAGTGATCCTCCTGCCTCAGCCTCCTGAGTGCTGGGATTACAAGAATGTTCAGGTAGAGCCACTACATTTCTGACATTTTGTAAAAACCTCCCTGAAATAGATGTTACCCTTCTTCCTGCCTAAGCCCCAGAGGAGACAAACGGAGCAAAATACGTGCTACTGTTGTGTGCCACTATGATTTTCTGGCTGCAAATTATTATTATTATTATTATATTTTGTCTTTTTTGAGAGAGTCGTCTCAAACTCGCAATGATATGCCTGCCTCAGCCTCCCGAATGTTGGGATTATAGGTATTTGCCAAAACTGGCTGAGGCTGCAAATTATTAAGGAGCAAAAAGGTGACCAACTCGCCTTATTTAAACTGGTAAGAACAGATACCACACTTGATCTTAGCCAAAAGGCCAAGAAGCAATCACCTTATTCAAGAAACTTAACCAGGATTAATGATGCAAGCACTGGTTCTCAAACTTGGTCCTTTGGGGTTTAAATTAAAAAATTAAAAAAAAAAAATACATGTCACTGAGAACTCATTTAGCACCTCTCTACATGGTAGGGAACAAACACATGCCACTTTTAACAAGAACCTCTCAGGTGATTATCTTGTGGTGCCCATGCCTTAGAAACATGGCTTAGAGATAAAATTACTTCAGTTATTCAACAATACTAACTGCTCAAGAATACTACACAGATAAAATTCACTTTAGACTGTATGGTGCTCCTAAAGAAAAGCATGCAAATTTGAAATCTAGTCAAGTGAGTTATTTTAAATGCATATTATGCTCATGTAAGAGCTGATCCTTAAGTATTCATGGCACTGTATTTTTATTAATACTCAGATATATAAACCAAGCAAGCACATCTTATTTTTTATGAATTCTAATTTTATACCAACTGTTCCCTGAACTGAGTCCAAGAATTAGACAGAATAAGTGGGAAGGAGGGATGCAAAAGAAATGATTAATCTATGACCCCAAGGACATTCCATATTTTCATCTGTCCAGCAATAGCATTGCATCTATGCTCCCAAACCCACAGAGACCCTGCACTTAATGAAACTGCACTAGGCACTCCAATATTGAGCAAAGTTTTACACATTCAACACAACATTTGCATAACCAGGGCCTATGCTATTGTCCCCACTTCTTTGTATAAGCTGGTCTGTAAAGGCATCCCAATTAGAGGGAGACACTGCTGCCTCTGCTGCTGTTGTCAGCATTGATGTGGTAGCTAAGGGTGCAGGTTATAGTCCTGACTCCATAATTTACTGACTATGTGATGAGTTACTTAAGTTCTCTGTACTTTTCTGTCCCTCTCTGTAAAATGAAAATAATAATAACTTAACACTGAATTGTCATGAGGACCACATAACAAAATACATGTAAAGTTATCTGAATGTTCACTGATGCATAAAAAGCACTCAATAATACACCAGTATTACTGGTGCAGCTCTCAAATCCAGCTTCACAAACACTGTCTTCTGGTGCTATGTAATACTAAAATGAAGACTACTAAGCCATTAAGCAGTGATTCCTTCAATCTATTCCTTTTAAGGGACACTATTTTAAGAATATTTTTTATCAAAAAGAAATTATTTTATTTTTAAAGCAATGATTATTTTTTCTCATCACAACATAATGTGACTATAAATGAGAATCTACATTCTAAAAGGGCCAAGGATAACAAAGAAAAAAATATTCTGAGACTTCTGCTAAAAAAAAATGATTGCTTAAACTGAAGGCCTTTTTTACTGTCTTCATGTTTTACATGAACATGGTTATGATCAGAGAATTTTCAATAAATTTAGGGAAAATCATTCATTTTCATTACAAAAGTAAAAGCATTAGCTAAATACTTAAAATGTCTCACAATAAATTCAACTCAGAAGTTCAAATTATTTTCAAACTACTATATACAGATTTATCACAAAATAAAAGACATAATAACTAACACAAATCACAAAAGGTAACTTCAAATTTTCTTTCAGCACTTTTCCAGTGTTGACTTTTATAACCTGTGCCTAACAAAGCCATAAGAAATAAATTGAATGTGAAAACTACACATATACAACGAAAAAAAAAATGGAAAATCGTCATTTTGTCCTTTACTCATTTTGAAATGCCATACATTTCATGCCATACATTAAGAATTTTATGTACAATTCACTGTTGAAAATTTCTAGAAGCAAATCAAAAACTCGAAAAATAACTGATAAGTGAACATAAGGTTTTTTGCTAAGGAGTGTAAGAAGCAAAACCGAAATATCCAAAAGAATGAATGACTACCATTTTCTTTTACGCTTTCGTAAAATGTCAAAGAACTTTCCAATCTCCTTTAAGTCTGACGTGAGGTCAAAGTTGTCTCAATGACAAAAAAGCCAACAGATGCCAGGTGACTAATAGTAAAGTTATCAAAATACTTCTCTTAGCAGTAATTCCACTACCACATACAATACGAGTGTCCAAGTTGAAAAGATGGAAACATAATTACCAGAATACTGGGGAACAAAATAATACTAAGGATAACAGTAATAACAATATTACACGACGTCTCAACAATCGATTTCTGCTTTCTCAACATTCTATTCATTCAGAAACACCTTTGAATAATGAACGTTAACATGAATTCCCAGAGTGATCTACTCTAAAAGTGTGTACAGCTGATGTTCTTTTTACTGAGCCAAATTCAAATTTTTAAAAATCTGTATCTGTATTCAAAGGATCTCCTCGTAGACACTTTGCTGGTGATAAAAATATTATTTTTACCCTTTGAATTACCTCACTGCTAAAAATGTCAAGATACCACACCCAACATGTCTTTTTCCCGCGAAGGGTGGGGTGGGGAGGACACGGCGGTCCGCGCGAGGGGCGCCCTGCCCCCCGGCCTCCGCCGGCCCGTACTCACCGGCCGCTGAGCTGGCCAGCAGGAGGGCGCACAGCAGCCAGGGCCACCGCCAGGGCTGCAGCGACGAGGGCGACATGCCGGGACTGGGGCTGCAGGCGACCGAAGGGCGAGAGTCTTCCCTGGCGTCCGCGGCTCCGGGCGCACTTCGGCGCGGGCTGGAGGACTGGAGGCAGCGCGGGGGGCCGGGCGGAGCGCTCCTGCCGCGCCCTGCGCCCTCACTGCGCCCCCGCGCGCTCGGGGAGCCTCGCCCGCCTGGGGCCGGGCGCCGCGGCGGTCCGAGCGGAAGGCATGTTGGCGAGGAGGGGCGCCGCGAGAACCGCAGTCAGTGCCCGCGGAGCTTCACGACGTCGAAGAAATGCCCGGGTCGGGACGAGAACATAGCCAGGGCCCGGGACCGGAATCAGAGCGCGCTCCGCACAGCCGGAAAGCGCGAGGCCGGGCGGGCGGCGGCGGCGGCGGCGGCGGCGCCCCACTACCCGCGTCGCATCGCCCGCGGCCCCGGGAGGGCAGGGCTCCTCTCAGAGTTCCTCCTCGGCGCTTCCCTCAGTGCGCCTTCCCGAACAAGCCCGCGCCGCGCTCGGAGCCGAAAGCGCCGCGGGCCTCCATGGGCGAGCCCGGCCTGCTTGGCAGGGTCGGGAGGGCGCCGCGCCCGCTGCTCCCACGGAGCCCTTAGGCGAGCGCCTCCGTGAGAGTCCTGGTTTCGCTCTCAATGGCTCCGCGAGCGAATCGCCGCCCGCAGCTCTGAAGCCCGGGCGTCGCGGGGCGAAGGCAGGGGCCCCGGGACGCGGACAGAACTGGCGGGCGAGGGGTTGGCAGGGAGTCTGCAGACACCCGCGCCCTTTCGGGAAGCAGTTCCGGTGGCTCCAGGCAGACCAGACACAAAGGGGGGAGTCGCCGCAGCTGCCAGTCTGCGGCGCTCCGGGTCCGGAGTCGCCCCGCCTCCAACGCCGCCGCCGCCGCCGCCTCCTCAGTCTAGGCTTCTGTGGGCCCCGTCTGGCTCCGGCCTGCGGTGCAGCGCGGGCCGCGGCGACGCCCCCGAACCGCACTGCGCCTGCGCGCTCGTGCCCCGCCCGCGCCCCCACAGGCCTGGCTGCGGCTGTGCGGCGGGCCGGGTGGGGCTGGGCGCGCGCAGTGGCGGGGCTCCTGCGCCCTCGCGCGCCAGCCTCGCGTTCGTGGGTGGCGTGTGGCGATGAGGTGGGGCGGCTGCGCCCTTTGTGCGGCTCTCGGCGCCCTCCTCTGAATCTCCTGGTCTTCCCGAGACTCGAAGGGCTATGTCGCTCGCGGGCCGACCCGCCTTTGCCCTCGCGGAGCTCGTGGCCTCCCGCACTGTGAACAAAAGCCTGAATCGGAAAGGCCGCGCCTCTCCGCAGGCGCCGGCTCGCGCAGCCCTGCTCAGATGACGGGAACGTGAACCACTGCGAAGACGCAGAACTTGGGAGCACACTCGGCTCGCGGCAGACGCGGGAAGGATCGAGGCTGTGCGGCCTCGTGTCGGGGGCCGGGCTCGGGGCCGATGGCTCGGAAGGCCGCGGGAACAGGTGGCGCGCGTGGCGCTGCAGCCGGAAGTCTGCACGTGGTCTCAGCTGCTAGAGAAGATCGCGTGGGAAGGCAGCCTTGAGGGGCAAAGCCCCTCGCAGCCCTCAGACCCGAGTGGTTCTGGAGGCTGGTTTCCAGGGTCCCAGGGTGGCTGAGGACAGTGTCAAAGATACATTCATAGCTGAGTATAGAGTTGCGTGCCTGTAGTCCCAGCACTCAGGAAGCTGAGGCAGGAGGATCAAGAGCAGCCTGTGCTATAAAGTGAGCTCAGGGCCAGCCTGAATCCTTTAGGGAAACCCTGTCTCCAAAAAAAAAAAAAAAAAAAAAAAAAAAGCAAAAAGCAAAGAAAGATACATTTAAAAAAAAAAAATCAAACTGACTCCTAAAGTCAGGCTTAACACTGCTTATTCAAGTTTCTTTTTCTCTCTATCTGAATTTGATGTAAACGTACCTCCACATTCCTTAAACTGGTTCCTGTTATCATACAAAATATCTGCTATAATTAGGGGTTGTGATAATACCTGCCCTGTACTCGTCAGTTGAAAAAAATTTGTACTATTTACCCTTCAGGCAAAAGAGAAATTTTTTTCTGCATAGTAAAATTCTTTTTTAAAGAAGAATAGCAGCATATACTTTGATTCGCTAGTTTTATTACTATTCTTTGTTTTGCCCAAAAGGCCTAAAAAAATAAACTGGTGTTGTTTTAACATTTGAGTTTCACGAATGAGCTCTAGCATTCAGAAAAAGTAATTAAGTATGTCAGATATGCAAAAAGTGTATTCATTGGAAGTATAGTTTTTCTTCCTCGTATTGAGATCAAGCACTTGATCAATTTTTCATTGCATAAAACTTTCCTGAGAGGGCTGGGGAGATGGCTCAGTAGAATAAGCACTTCCCTGGCAAGTGCAAGGATCTGAGTTCAATCCCCGGTTGGTGCGGGGAGAATTCCTGAGAAACATTAAGTGCCCTTTTCCATGGCACTTAATGTTTTCTACACAATGATAAATTGTATAGAAAAGAGGAAAAAAATCTTAGGAAAGTCACATGAAAAAGTATCTCTGACTTAGTGGGAATAATAATCAGCATAACAACTAGACATACAACCCTTTTTCCTTTTGTTCTGTGGCAGTAGCTCAATTGTGATATGGTTGTTCAACAGCAACAAGAAAAATATAAAAGAACTTGGCAATGACTTCTCCACTACACAGAACAGGTCTGCTAAAGCCAAACGATTGGTAGAGCAGGTGAGGTTGGCATCTACACTAGTCAGGATGGGCTAGGCTGTAATAACAGCTCCCAATTTTGGCAGGGTTTTTTGTTAGTTTTTGTTTTTGTTTTGGTACCAGGAATTGAAGTTGGACCTTGCACTTGGCAGGCAAGCATTGTGCTGCTGAGCTGTATCCTGGCCCTCAGCAGCCTATTGCAACCAGAGTTTTTCATACACTTTACATGTTTGATACTGTCATCAAGGGGCCTATTGTAAGTGTGGCTCACCAGGAAACAGACGCTAGGACTCTTGAGATTTCAGCGCAGGAAGATTTTGGGTAATGATCTTAAGAACAACTTCTAAGGGTAAGAAGAACAACTGGGTACTGAAGAAGATAAGATTAGACACTGAGAAGCTAGCTGCAACACAGTTGACCTGAAACTTTAGTCAGTCCTGCAGGAAGCTCTGGAGCTGAGATGTCCCTTCAAGGGCTGTGCACAATTGAGGCAGATGGCCAGGTCTTTATACCTTCCCATCAACCAGATATTGGATATGAGCTGCACGCAGGGAAGGGAGGTGACCTTAGCCAAGGGCAGCCCCTGTGGAGGGACCCCACCCTGTGAACTGTCAGCCACCAACCTTTCCAGTATTTGGAGAAAGAATGTCACACATGAAGGGAGGATATAGGGAACTCAGTACATTCACTGCACAGACTGTAGTCACTGAGGTCCCCAAATGGGTGGAGACTTCACTGAGACATATCCCTTCAAGATTGCAACAGCAGGGATCATAAAATTTAATTACTAGTGCTGCAGTGTCTTGGTCTAGCCATTTAAAAGCTTCCACCCAGAAGCAATGAGCTTCACTTCTATTCACATTTTATTAAATAACAAGGCCACAGAGCCAAACCTAGCTATAAGGCAGCAGTGAACAGTTCTCATGACTACTGTGGTGTCTGAGAGTAAAAGAATACACAGTACTCTAATCACCAAAAGCCTAACAAGTAGGAAGGTAACATATAGGAGGAAACTCTGGATAAGGAAATTGAGGTTTTCAAGCCAAGAGTATCTGAAGACTGGGGCTCATGTATTACAGTCCCCTTTTCTTTAAGTTGCAAGTACTGGTGAAAGCCAAGTAAGCCCTTGGTTTTAGGAAAGGGCCATGATTAAGTAGATCCTTAGACCAAGAACTAAAATAAGGACGTAAGCAAAATCCCTGTCAAATGGTAACACAGGAGTTAGCTGGGCTCAGAAATACTGAATACTTAACAGAATAAGCTTCATGATCATGAAGGAGTACTGTCAAAGAAAAATAGAAGAGAAAAATAATATAGATACCTAGAATTTAGCAGAGATGTCTTTCCAGGTCGGACTAACAGAAGACAACCTGTGCAGTTTAGAACCTTCCGGGTTTAATCTTCAGGCTTAAACTGAGAAATGGGACATGGTAATAGTCTTCTTTGGGGAGACCAAGGTAGTAAGGAAATAGGAAAGCCTAGTGGTGAAATACAAAAGAAATGAGATTGAGATTGACCTCCCTAACATTCTAAACCTAAAAGCAACTTTAAATCTCTCTTCCTAAACTGGGCTTCGTGTCACAAATCTGTAATGCCAGCCCTCCTTTGGGAGAATGAGGCAGGATTGCAAATTCAAGCCCAGACCAGATATCTTAGTAATTTAGGTAGACCCTGCTCAGAATAAAAAATTAAAAAGGGCTAAGGATGTACTCACAGCAAAGACTTTGGGTTCAATCCCCAGTACCAAAAAACAAAACAAAATCCTTTCTGAAAATAAGCAAACTTTAAATAGTAATAAATAAGAGCTTTGCTTTGGAACTAGATCTATGAGCCTTTTTCATTTGCATGTTACATTATGAAAATTTAGTCCTACTTCTGAGCTCACTCCTTTGAAGAGCAAAATAAAATCACCTACTGTTTTCTGAGTGACTAACAGCAGAAAAGCCCAGCTTCCCTCCAAGGATTTGAAAAATTTCTGAGAACTGTTTAGTTTTTTTTCTTTTTTCTTTCTTTCTTCCTTCCTTCCTTCCTTTTTTTTTTTTTTTTTTAATTTTTGTCTTTTTGAGACAGGATTTCACAATACAGTTCAAGCTAGCCTTGAGTTCACTTTGTAGCCCAGGCTGGTCTCAAACTCCAAACAACCTTCTTGCCTCAGCTTCTGGAGTGGTGGGATTACAGGCATGCGCCACCACGCCCAGCTTCTGAAGAGAACTACTTTTCACAAATTCACTTCATTTGCTGTAGATTGCTCTTCTTCTAATTTTTTTTTATTGTACATGTTTTCAGTGCATAATGATTATGTTCACTGGGAAGTTGATACGTAACACATCTTAATTCCTTTTACATCTCCTCCCTCCCTCTTTCTTCCTCATCTTTTCATCTCGGGGTCCTCTTCCCATGTGCAAAAGATGTCCCCATTTCCTATTTGTCATATATATATATATATATATATATATATAGTACAGGGTCTCACTACATAGATTGGATTCATAGTGATCCTTCTGTTTTCAGCCTCCCATGTGCTGGGATTACAGGTGCACACCACCATGCCCAGTCTCCATCACCATCTCAATGCGCCCCGGGGGCAGGTCCAGCATGGCAAACAGGGAATCAAACCCCCAGTCCCTACATCTGCCAAAGCAGGCACTTTAGTCCACTGAGCTATCTGGCTGGCCCATTTTGCTCTGTATTTATACTATGGGTTTCTTATAAGAGAAACTATGTGATACTTAAGCTTCTTACTTTGAGTTTTAACACTAACATACTATAAGAGCTTTTCCTTGCTGATGCCAAGCACTGAGCTCTGTTTTCCTAACAGTAGATATAGGACTTTCCATTTACTTTCCAAGCTACTCCAGGGTGCCTGCCCCTTAACTCAGTTCTTTAAGTGGCTGCTTCAACAAAGCAGTCAGGCTGTTTGCTGTGGTTCGATCCCCACAACTCAAGCCAGCCAAACCTGCCCTGAAGGCATTCAGAGAAAAAAAAATCCAAGCTACTCCATAGAACCATTCTGTAATTAATTTTTTTACTGATATTTGTAGGTTTTTTTAAGGGAGTACAATATAATAAAGGCAATCTTGAAACAGAATAGTACTCTCTAATGTCCTTTCAGCCACATATACACCATCCCAATGGACACCCTCCCCTTGGAAAGTATTTCTTAGCCTGTAACCAATGAACATTCTGCTAAGGTTTTGTCCTCTCCTCTCCACCCATCCATCCATTTATAGCATGAACAAATGTTTGTTGAGCCATGTGCCAATCACTGTTCTCTTAAGGAACAGAAATACAGTAAAGAACAAGGAAAGTTCCTTCTCGCCCTTATAGTACTTATATTCATTTTCTATTACCACAAACATATTGATCATCTCACAATTGCCGGTAAGTCAGAAGTCTAAGCACAGTTTAGCTGGGCTCTCTGCTGCAGTCTCATAAAGTCGCTTGTATCATCCAGGCTGTATTCTCATCTGAAGACTCCTTTCAGGTTATTTTAGGTGTTGGATGTCCACCACTCTTAGCTTGTACAAGCTATCGCAGTGGCCTTCTTTATAAGCATTCCCAAACCATGGTAGGTTATTTCCTCAAAGCCAACCATGTGAAATCCCTTATTGCAGGTTGCAAAAATAGACTTATAATCGTAGGAGAGGCACACCATCACCTTTGCTATAGTCTATTGGTTAGAAGTAACTCATAGGAGCTGAAGGGGTAGCTCAGCAGACTAAGCACCTGCTTAGGCAAGTGCAGGGACCAAGGTTTGATCCCTGATACTACGTGGTACGCTGACCCGGGAACCGAGACTGGGGGTGGTGGTACGTGCCTGTAGTCCCAGCACTGGGAAAGCTGAAACAAGAGGATTACTACTAGTCCAAGCTGCACAGTGAGACCCTGTACCAAATACATTTTTAAAAAAGTAATAACTCATAGGCTTCACAATGAAGGGGAAAGATAATAGCCAGGCAAATGATCCACATCTATAATTTCAGTTTGCTGGAAAACTAAGGCAAGAGGATTGTGAGTTCAAGGCCAGTCTGGGCAATTTAGTGACTTAGTGAGACTTGTCTAGAAATACAAAGGGCAGTAGATGCAGCCTAGTGTAAGAGCTCTCTGTTCCAATTCCCAGTGCTAGTACAGGTTAGAAACAGGGAAGTTAAGGGAGCTGCTCCCCTCCCTTCACTCAATTATAACCACAACACCCACCCTATTGGTTTTCCATGTTCAAACTTAGGAGGTTGCAATGCCTGAGGGTGCAGGTCTCCAGTGAGAGGCGAAGTGATCAGTACCTGCAGTCAGAGGGCCTGACCCTAAACACTGGAAGCCTGAGTTACTGACAGTTCCTCTTCCTCCTCCTTTTTCTCTTTGGCCTTCTGCCTGTTCCTGCTGCTGCTGTCCCATGATTTTCTATAAACAGCTACATACTACTTACAAGGGGGTGTACACTTGGCAAATCTCGTCATGTACAAAAATCTGAACTATTTTTAGCCCATTGGACTGTAACAGCTACCCCACCTCCCAAAAAAAGGAGAAGAGGAATTACACAAGGACATGAATTTGGGGACGTCACCTAAGTATGTGTATACTATGTTGTCTTTTAGCAAGGATAGACAATATGACAGCTGTTCTGCCACAGAAGACTCATTAGGGAAGGCCTGTTGAGGAAAGTGTTACTTGACCTGAGATTTTAATGATGAGAGGAGGAACCAGTGGCAGAAGAGTGTCAACCTGATTGTCCTTGGCATCTGCCCGAGTGAGTGGTGGAACAGTCTAGGGTGTCAGGACGGATCGAGGAGGCCTTGGGGTCTTTCTGTGGTCCATTTGTTTCTTCCTGTCTGGTCCTCTGTTCTCCTTCCTGCTGCCGTGGGGTGAGAGGCTTTCCTCCTCCATGCCTTTCCACTGTACCATTTCTGCTTTCAAGGGAGAATGAGGTCTCCAAACCCATGAGCCACATCAAATCTCTTCTTTACATTGTTGATGCCAAATGTTTTGTACCAGGAACAGGAAAGCTGATTAATTCAGTGGAAGAG